GAAAATATAACATCGAAACACGTCTTTTGCATTTCTTGCTTTGAAAAGTTTCTCATTTGTGAAACACCATATGTACCTTTACATATATATGTTCTTCTTCTGCTCAGAGTTAAAGAAGAATACACGATAGCTTATATGGTCCATATCAATATTTAAAGCATGGAAAACGAACCAGGAATATTCAGCAAAATTATAAGGAGGAATGGTAATAAAGTCAGTAATAACAAGCAGAAAAGCAATACATGCATGGGTAAATGTATACAGGATATACAATATACATATGTATAGATACATATATGCATCTATGTACATATGTATATGTTTACGTGTTTTCAGAGTTTCCAGCAGAGGGCCGCCGAAGAGCAATGGTAACACGCATAGCTGGGGATCAGAAGCATTTCCAAACAAAAGGGTTTGAGTTCTGGCCACGGTTCGGGGTAAGGAAGGACATCCACTCAGATTAACGGTCTCCATGAACAAAATCCCTTCAAAACATTTCACTGTCAGAGCCCTTGCAAGAGGGGGCGTCACAGAAAAGGGATCATTATCACAAAGAATCTAACTTTGCAGTGTTATCATTAGCAGATTCCTAATACTGTGATCCCGGTGTCGTTCACCCTTTCCCCCTTAATCCTGTTCTGAATACCCGCGTGTCTCTCACTCTGTCGTCCTTCATCTCCTTTATCATCTGCTGATGTTGGTGTCTCATGCAACGCTCGATCGATCATGAACTCAGCGACGACATACACAAATGAATTTAATTGTTCTTAATATCTATACTTCATGAATATTATATAGGGAAGAGTGTAAAGACCGTGTATAAATTTGATTTGTAAGGCTCGTATTGAAAGATAGAATACAGAGTCACTAAATCTAAATGTTGCACATACAGGACATAGATGTATTTTATATTTGGTCATGAAAAACACGATTAACAAACCGTTTTACTTTTTATTTAATTTACTGCGTGAAGTCTTACGAGATATGAAGTATTCTTTACGATTTCCCTCTTCCAAATCTATCTGTAAATATTCGTAACTTCCAGTCGATATTATTGCCTCGATACACTAAAAACTAATCTGGTTGATTGTAATTACAACTCAATAAAAAAGAGATGTCATTATCCGTATTTTCCTTACATGAAGTAGTTTTTGTTTCTTGTTTATATGCACATACTTTATCATTTTTGTGTGTTTGTTGTTTATATGCACATACTTTATAATCACTCAGCAACGTGATGTCTCCTCAAATCATATCATGCAAGAGACTGAATTGTTATTTTTATTGAAATCATCCCGTTATAATTTATCAATCTATCAATGGTTCCTTTGCTTGTCCATCGTATTTGCCTAATGTTTGGGGTCTGGAACCTAGAAGCGCTGCGGATTACAGACAATAGCGTTTGTATGTAAACACTGACAGCTGCATGTAACCACAAGATATTGGTGGGTAATTTTATGACCCTTTATTGGTGTTTTCAAAGGATATTTTTGTGTTTGTCAGTTTCAGGTAAGTTAAATATGCATCAAAGGAGTTACAAAACCTATGCAGCGTGTAAAATAAAGACACCGGTAATCTGGAAACACTTACATATCAAAATCGATTATTTAAAAAATGGGAATGAAATCACTAAATACACAATGAAAATACTTTCCTATGTACATTTCGAGGCCTGTGAGAAAAGGACAGCTGTCACATACTCGTTAGAGCATCTTTTTTGCTAGTTTGTTCCACTATTTATTTAGATAACTGCTTTCTTGGATTATTATTATAATCGACACTTACTTTTAAAATGATTTCATAGAGACTAAGAAAATCCGTAGATTCTTCAATGATTGAAGTATAAGAGGTAATAAAAAACATCAACTTAATTTCATTTATTCTAATGTGTATCGTTTGCTTTGCTAGTTTTATGTCTACAGTTTGATTATATCACTATACAGATATGCAGTAAAAAAGTGAAATATAGTATTTAACTTAAATTTAGATATTTATTTTAGCTTATTGCAAGAAAACATTCGTTAAACACCAGAAACATTCCTTAAGAAAGATTTACTGAACTTTCGAACCTCTGTGTGTGTGTGTGTGTGTGTGTGTGTGTGTGTGTGTGTGTGTGTGTGTGTGTGTGTGTGTGTGTGTGTGTGTGTGTGTGTGTGTGTGTGTGTGTAAAACTCTAATTGCTCTACTCTTTAGCATCAGTGTTACCAAAATATTATTGTTTTTCAAAATATTCTATCCCATGCCTTTAATATAGTAATCATGTCTATTCTAGTCTTATTTCCACAGTACAGGAATTTGATTCACTAATCATACAGCAATTATGAGCGTCTTTCATAATAATAATGAATAATATCAACAATTAATGGTTACCATTTTCATGATCTTTTTTTTATGATAATATTAATAATGGTATTAATAATGATACTGATAAAAATAATATTAATAATGACATTGATTGTAATAATGATTATAATAATAATGGCAAGGATAATCATTAGTG